CCCCCGCCTCCCCACCGCGGCCCGGGAGCACTCACCAGACCCATCCCGGCTTGTGCGGCACGGTGTACTTCTCCATGAAGGCGGTGAGCCGCAGCAGCGAGCCCTTGTGCAGGAGGTGGATCTGGCCGGCAAACTGCCGATTGATCTCCAGGGACTCTGAGTTCAGGCTGGGCCGGTGGGAGTTCTGGAAGCTGTGCCAACGGAGCTTCCTGGTGAAAGATGAGGGGGCGGGGGGCAGAGAAGGCCAGGGGGGCAGGTTTGGATGAATCTTAAGGAAGGCTGAGTTCTTCAGGTCCCTTTATTCTCCCCAAAGAGAGCAGGTGCGGGGGGACGGGACTGTTGTCAGCGCTGCTACTGGGCCCCAGGGTGGAAAAACCGAATCTTAGTTTCCAGGGCTGCCCGGTGGCCAAGATGCTGTCAGGGAGGGTGGCACAGAGCTGAGGCCCATCTAGAGCCACCAAGCAGTACCATCATCCCCTTACGCTTCCAAGACTGCAGCAGAGGGGCTGCTCTGAGAACCCAGGATGGCAAAGCTGGGGACCAGAGACCATCTCCTCTAGTACCTTCGATTTGCACATGGGGAAACCAAGGGCCAGAGAGGAGCTAGAATTTGCTCAAGGCCGTATAGCAGAGGCAGGCCCTGAACTTAACCGGGAAGGAACGGAGACCCTGCCCCTGGGCCTCGGGACTCAGAAATTGCCTTGAGGGAGCGTTGTGCAGCGGAGAGAGGGGCAGGAAGAGAGAGAAGAGGAAGGGTGCAGAGGGGGAAAGACAGAGAGACACAACAGAGTCCCCTGTCCCCAGCCCTGCTCAAACCTCCCACCTGCAGGGTCTGGTAAGTGAGGCCCCAACGCCTGAATCTCGTCGTTCCCGTGGTGCTAATGCCTGAGGTCCAGCCGGCGAGCCTGCGGCCTCGGGCTCGTTCAGCGACTTTCCACTACTTTCCAGTTCGCCGGAGGAGGCCACAGTGTCAGCAACGGAGTGCCTGTCTTCCACCGTCAGGCTGGGGGCAGAGGTGGGCTCCCCACCTGAATTTGCCTCCTGCCCATTATGCTGGGCTGGACCCGGGGCCTGAGCCTCGGCCTCGGCCTGCGCCCGACCCTGAACCTGAGCTGGGACCACTGGCGGAACATCAGCCTGGCCCGGGGCCGAGGACCCTCTGCGGGCCGGGGCCTCCATCTGGGCCAGAGCCTCAGCCTGCCCCTCGACCTCAACTGTGGCCATCTCTGCAGCTGAAGCGACCTCCTCCTCCTCTTCTTCCTCCTCTTCTTCCTCGTCCTTATCTCCAGTCCGCAGGTCCGGGTAGACGGCCCGGGACCAGAGCTCTACCCGTTGCTGCAGCCCCCACACGTGCTGGAGGATGTCGTCCAGGTGGGCGTAGCTGCCCCCGCCCTCGTCCTCTTCGGCTGCAGCCCTGGCCAGTAGCGGCTCCGCTGGGTACAGCTCGGGCATGTTGTCATAGATGCTGGCATGGCTGCCCGTGGAGCCGCAGGAACCCCGGCGCCCTTCGTAGCCCCGGGGCCTACCTGGCTGCCAATCTGCCAGGCGCTGTCCGTCCTCAGGAAGCAGGCTCTCGATGGACAGGGAGCGAGGGAATGTGCCTGGCTTGTGGTCCCCGGGCACGTGCACGAGGCAGTCCCCCCGGTGCGCCCGCTGCGGATGCCGAAACATGGCCACAGGCCAGGCCTCCCAGGCCCTCTGAGTCGCAGCGCCGCAATCACCGGCTGAGGTGGCTGCCCTGTTCTTGGCCCTGTAGAATCCAGCTGAGAGGAAGCCACGGCGACTGCAGAAAGAGGAGGCTTTGGTGGCCTTCTCTAAGGTGGCTGGGCCACGCGCGGGCTCCGCTTGCCGACCGCCACCCTTTTCCTTCCGCCTCAGAGAATCGAGGTGCTTAAGGAAGCTACGAGAACGGTGCTTCTTGGCTTTGTCCCGGGGACCCTCTTGGCCCTGGGCGGGGCTGAGGAGGAGCTGGTTGCTCGGGCTGGGGACACGGCAGGGTGAGGGCCGTTCCGTTGGCTCCGGCGATAGGCTCACGGTGATGGCTGGTAGGGAAGTGGCGCTGAGCTCTGTGAGGACGCTCTCACAGCTGGAGGTCCCCGGCAGGCCAGGGCTCGGGGGGGCCAGCAGGTCAGAGGAGCCCCCACGAGACCAGCATTTACTTTCTCGCTGGAAAGCCCAGTGGTTGCTGATGCTACATTGCTCTTCTTCTTCTGAGTCTTCATTCTGGGGAAGGAGCCACGGGGTCAAGGTCAGAGAAGTCTAGTCCCCAAGCCCTTGTTTGTACCCCCACGCTCTGCCTCCAAACTCTTGGGGGACTTTGAGGTAAAGGGTCCTGCTTTCTGATGGAGGACATGTCCTAGATGGGGAGCTGGCTCTGGGAGCAGCAGAATAAGCCAGGGCTCAGGGACGGAGCCCAGATGGATGGTAACGGTCATCTCATTAATCTAATCCCTCCTCATGTTACAGACAGGGAAACCCAGACCCACAGATGAGAAGCCACTTGCCTAAGGTCATACAATGGCATGCACTAAGTCAGTGAGAGAGCTGGGGTTAGAATCCAAGCGTCCTGGGATGCCTGGGTGGCTCAGTCGTCAAGCGTCTACCTTCGGCTCAGGTCATGATCCCAGGGTCCTGGGATCGAGTCCCACATCGGGCTCCTTAGTGGGGAAGCCTGCTTCTCCCTCTGCCTGCCGCTCCCCCTGCTTGTGCTCTCTCCCTCTCTCTCTCTCTCTCTGACAAATAGATAACTAAAATCTTTAAAAAAAAAAAAAAAAAAAGAATCCAGGTGTCTTGACCTCCTGTCCTCAGCAGCCTCCCAAGTCTGTAGGCTATAGTCTTAGATTAGAACCACAGAGTGCCAGAACTGGAAGGAGATTTTAGATTTTCTAATTTTCTATTTTGCGATATGGGGAAATCAAGGCCCAGAGAGGGGAAGAGGCTTGCTCAAGGCCACTGAGCAAGCAGTGGCAGAGGCAGGACCAGGCTCCAGGGGTTTCCTGCTTCCCAGGTAAGGGCTCTGGCAGCTTAGCTGGCCCTCCTGGCTCCAGACCAGGAGGTCTGGAGAAAGCCCCAGAATAAACCCACAAAGCCCGACCCTATGGAAGGATGAGGTCATCAGGCTAGCATTCCAGGGCTCCAAGCGGACTAAGAATCCTCTCCGTTTCTGCAATTCCAGGTTGGCAGAGTCAGAAAGGCCTCTTGAGGCTATTAATGCCCCCCTCCAGTCTGGTGTAGAGATGGAGAACATGAGGCTCAGGGGTATAAGACCTCATGGGGACATAGTTGGGGATCCTGACTTCTCAGATCATATAGGCCATGATTTTTCCACCACATTATTCTGTCTCTGCTCCCTAGTCAAGGAATTCTTGCCGTCACAAAGCAGGTAGAGGAGGCAGAGAGATTTCCCTGAGGAAGGGCCATCACTGGACCAAGTTATGAGTAAGCTCAGTAGGGAGAGGTGTGCCAAAGTGGGTGGGTGAGGCCATGGGCCAGGGTACTTGTTCTCAGACTCCAACCTCTAGGCCACACTTGCCAAAACCCAGCAGGCTCATAGAGCTCCTTACACTTCACTCCCAGGCTGGAGCAAGGCACCTCTCTGTAACATCTCAGACTCCCAGGACACTGGAGCTAGTTTTGCAAGTGCCCTGTGTATGTCCTGGGTTCCCCGTGGTGCCACAAGGCCCCAGGCTCCACCCTTGCCATGACTCACCTGCTTGCTTTGAAAGTGAACTTCCAGTTTCATCGAGGCACAGTTGTTCAAGGTCATCAGCCTCCTGTAAGGAAAGAAAGCAAGCACTCACCCAAGGGTCCCAACCAAAGGCTGCGGGGCATGACCCACCAAGACAGTCCCAAGATGCCATCCACTACTTTACATGCCCAAGCCATCAAAACATCTCCTAAGACCCAGTGTTCGTGAAGGTTTCAGTGCCAGACACAATGCTCGGGAGATTATGGCTTCTGTCCTCTGGGAGCTTATATATGCAGAATAAACCACTACAGAGATGGGGCAAGTTCAAGAACAGGGTAGACCGAGGCACAGCAGGCACAAAGAGGGGGGGACAAGGAACTTCCATGAAGGGGGATTAGGCAGTCAGAGAAGGCTTCCCGGAGGACAGGGGTGGGGTTCTGAAGGAGAAAAAAAAACCAGGGACTTCTATGCCAGGCTTCCACAAGAGGCTGTGACAAGGGAGGGAAACGGCCAGTAAACAGACCAGCGCTGGTGTGACAGGGGAGACTGAGGCTGATGCGGTCGGTCAGAGCCAGACTGCAAAGGTGCCTCAAGGTAAAAAAGCGTTGCTTTCCTCTGCAGGCAGCTGCACACCCCAAGCAGAGGGGTGCCTGCTCGGAAGCGGAATCTGGTGGCCGTAAAGAGCCTGGATCAGGGCGAGGAGGGGAATGGCAGGCAGGCCAGTTAGTAGGCTACTGAAGCAGATCCAGAAAAGCCGTGGTTTGGCCTGAAAGAAGGCCCAAACCCGTGTAAGGAGAGAGGGGCCAAAGCACAGGAATGTCTGGGGAATCGGACTGAAGGGAGAAGATGAATCACAGCCAGATCTTGGCTCTCTAGCTAGAGGGCCGGAGCGCTACGGCGTCACAGACACGGAAGACAGAGTGAGATGTGTGACTGTGGCAGAGGAGTGTTGTCACCGGCTGGGCTCCTCCTCTGTTGGAGGGGACACGGACTGTTTCTTTCCCCAGGGAAGCCCCAAGCCAGGCCCTGACCTCCCAGGCCTGGCCCTTAGTGCCCCCTACCTGCACAGGGCCCCCAAAGAGTCCTCGTCCAGAAAACCGTGGTCCTTCTTCACAGAGCCAATATCCAAGGGAAACAGACCTTCTGTATGGCGGAGAAAAGCCAAGATGAGTCGAGGGCGGTAGGTCAGCAACTCAGTGCCAGCAGCCCTTGAGGTGGGAAGGGGAGGCCAGGGAAGAGAGGAGGCAGGAAGGCAAAAAGCCGAGCAGAAGGAGCAGACCTGGGGTAAGGGAGGGGCCCAGGGAGCTCGGGTTGACCATCAGAGGCAAGTTCAGGGTTGAGGGAAAGGAGGCTGGAGCTGGATGAGAGGACCCAACAATAAAACAGGTCCCCGGGAGATGGCAGGCCCGAGGTCTTGGGTGGCTGCCAAGAGCGAAGCTTACCCCCCCACCCCAGTCCCCTTTGCATCCTGGGCTACTCAGAAAGGGAGGCTCCTCCCCGGCCCAAGGTGAACTGGGGGGCGGGGGGGTAGGGAGACGGTGAGAGAGGACAGTGCGCAGCCGAACAATGCCTCATTTCCTCCTACTGGTCCGAACAGGGGAGCCCGCTCCCTGGGATGTCGGAAGGGGAGGGGAGAGAGGAAGGAGTGCGGTCAGAGGACAGAGCATCCAGGAAATCCCACACCTCTCTGCCTGACTGCTAAAAGAAACCCATTTTCTCATTTAACTAACATTACTTGAGCACCTACTTGATGCCAGGCACCGGGGATACAACAGCGAACGAGATAAAAATGATCCCTGCCCTCACGGAGGGACTGTACGGGGAACAAGATCATACAGTTCTAGGGGCGCCTGGGGGGCTCAGTCATTGAGCGGCTGCCTTCGGCTCAGGTCAGGATCCCGGGGTCCTGGGATCGAGCCCCGCATGGGGCTCCCTGCTCGGCGGAAGGCCTGCTTCTCCCTCTCCCGCTCCCCCTGCTCGTGTTCCCTCTCTTGCTGGGTCTCCCTCTGTCAAATAGGTGAAATCTTTTAAAAAAAAAAAGAAAGAAAGACAATACAGTTCTAAATGCCATGAAAGACATTAGCCAGGGTGATAGGGTAAAGCGAGGCTGGTGGGGTGGGGGCCACCCGGAGAGAGGTGACTTCCAAGATGAGTCCTGAAGAGGGGGCTGGCCGGGCCAAGAGCCTGGGAAGAGGATTCCAGGCAGGACTAACATTGAGGCTCTGAGGAAGGAAAGGTGTGAGCCTGGGATGAGGATGATTCCCGGATGATTCCTGGCAGTGGGGCCCTTGGGAGGTGGAATTTAGACCTGTTCCATCTGAGATGCCTATCAGACAGACGAGGAGATCCTGAATTGTTGGTTGAATGGATGAATCCAGAGCTCGGGAATGAGGTCTGACAGAGATATTTGGGAATCACCAGAAGATGCATGGTACTTGGAGAAGGATCTCCTGGGAGAGAAATGTGGAGAGGGAAGAGGGGCCAAGATTGAGCTCTGGGACACCCCAACATTTCGATCTGTTAGAGAAAGCAGAGTCTGGTATAAGAAGAGTGACAGCGGCATCTAGAGAGAGGCAGCCAAGAGAGGCGAGTGTTCCAGAAGCTGAAGTGAGTGGCCAACGGCCCTGAATGCTGTTCAGAGATTAAGACTGGGAAGGGACCGCTGCATTTGATCACGTGGGAGTCCCTGGTGACCTGGACAAGGACTGTTTGGTTGGCAAAGTGGGAGTGAAGGCAGGGTACGGTGGGGAGTGTGGGGAGAAGAGGGAAAGTGGAAACAGCAAATATAAACGACTCTAAAGAACAAAACAGACAAATGAAGGGAAACAGAGAAATGGAGGCCATGCAGGAGCTGAGATGAGGTCAGGGAGCCCAGGATGCAGCTCTGCAAATGGCATCCTCAGCAGTGGTACAGTGCAGGGGCCCTGGGCGAGACAAGGCACTTTAACACACTGGTGACACCAGAGCTTAGAAGAGCCAATCAGAGTGACCCACTAGAGATGACGCTGTCGTGACAGGAGCAGGACCAAAGAACACAGCTTCTTGTGTGGTTGGAGAAAGGTTCCGATTGGCCTCCTTTTACAGATGAAAAACAGAGGGATACGGCAAGCTTTGGGGTAGGGAAGGGGGAGCAACTGAGTAGCCTTACCTTCAAAAAGCTGAGCATACTGAGGGAATCCTGTTGCTCGGAGCCACTTGCATGCTCTCTTGGCTTCAACTTCTAAAATGGAACAGAGGGACAGAAATAGGCAGAGAAGTGGGGTTAGCTGGGTGCTGGTACTGAGCCACCCCGGGTGTACGTTGCCTCACCTTCCGCGGACAAGCACCTCCAGTTCTCGGGATCTGGAAATGGCAAGGAAGGCACAGAGGGGCCTGGCATATTCGCTGAGTGTCACAGCCAGCTAGGATTTACCTTCGGTTCCCCATACCCTACCCTCTCTATGTCCCAGTGCGCCTTTCTTGAGCCTCACTCCCTGCCTGTCCCAATACCCCTCTCACTCTCCCACCCCTGCCCAAGAACAGAACCCACCAGCAGCAACTCCCAGGAAAGCGTGGAGTCAGCAACAAAATGTTCAACGATTTTCATTCTCTTTCCCACCCTTATTATACCTAACATTCCCCAGCACTTTGAGAACCAAATCTCACTTCACACACACAATATGCTGGGAAGAAGGTCTTATTCTCTCTGTTTTATGGATCTCCAGACAGGCTCAGGAAGGAAGGGACTCATCCACAGTTTCACAGTTGACCAAGGTAGCAGTGCTGGGGCCAGAGTTCAAGCTCAGTCTGACTCCCACTCAGGGCTCCTACCCTTCTGACGCGGCAGCTTCCCCAGTGCTCACCCCCCGCCCCCGACCACACATCGATTTCCAGCCCTCCCTCCCCAGGGAGCCTCCCAGGACTGCTCCAGCTCTCCCGGGTGGCTAGGCCTATGTGGTATAATCCAGTGCTGACTGTCATGATGACACAGTGCGGGCCTGTGAGAATCCTGGAGGACAATGGTTGGGTTAGCCTCCCACCTCTGCTCTGGGAAGGCCCAGCACCCCTCCCAGCCTCAGTGGAGACATGCACCTGGAACTAAAGGAGGCCAGGGTGGGCTGAATGCCATTAGCAAAGCCCTGGGACTGCCCAGGCAGCAATGTGTTTCCTACCCAAGTGCTGCCAGGGAGCAAGGGGCTGGGACTATGGGACCAGGCATTGTGGGGTTGGGGGACGGAGGAGGCTGCTGGCTCGGCAGAGCTGCTCTGGCCACAGAGCACGCGCCCAACATCTCCTTGATTTCCTTAACGCCCATGACCAGGGGACTCCAAGGCGACTGGTGAGGTTTCTCTGAGACAGGAAGAGCTCTTTCTCTCCAGTGCTCTCCCACAGGGAAATCCAGGATGAGGTCCTGGCAGCTGGGACTGAGAAGTTAAAAGACAAAATGGTACTTGAGAGGATGCTGGGTGGGGACACGAGGGAGGGAAGAGAGCAGAAAGGTGGAAGTCGGTCAGAAAAAACAACAGGCTTCTCAAGGGTCCACACACTGATGAGGATTTGAGGAGGGAGAAGAGAAGGCTCTGGAGCCCCCAAGGGCTTTGGGGGCAAACAGGAGTGGGGCGGGGATGAACATCTGTGCGTTTCCCAGAGTGAGGGCCACCCCAGCATCTGCCTGTGCACACAGCTGTAGCCAAGTCTGCTCATGTCCATGATCCGTGAAGACTGGCGTGGGACGGCACACCCGTACGCACACACAGACAGGCCCCTCAGTCTGTGTGCGCACCCAAATCTGTATGTGCACATGTTTTTTGTTACTGCAACTTCCTAACCTATGATAAAGATCTAGGGGTCATCAGGACTTCTGAGAGGTCCTGGAAAGCATTTGTTCCCGTAGAGCTCAGCCAACAGTACCGCAGATCCTCTGGCAGGGGGCAATGCAGGCCTGGGAGAGGATGCAGGTCTCTAGGCAACAGGCCACCTGGGAGAATTGTGCTAAGAGCTGCTGGAAGGGACTTCACATCAGCCCAGGAAGCATTAAAGGACATGGTTTTGCTGTTAGGACAGCTGAACCAGCTGCCATAACCACCTCCCTGTCTCCTGATCCTACCACAGCCCCAGGAGAAGGCCCTTCTCCATCCACAGAGCCCCTCCCAGCAGCCAGCTCTGCTATCCCATCATCAGGACAAAGAGAAGGTACTGAAGGAGGGACCTGGTAGGAGTTTCCAGAAAGGGAGGCACAGCAGGAAACAGTGATCCCTAAAGGGCCATGAGTCTGGTATGGCCACCCCGGGCAGGGCAGGCAATCCCCAGGGATAGGCCTGCATGCCAAGAACACACCCTCAAAGTCCACTGCAGCCCTCAGTCCTTCGTGACTAGAGGCAGAACAAAGAGCGAAGGGAAGGAGCGAGGCAGCTGCCTGCCCGTTACTCCTGAGCTCCCTCCTAAGCCTGAAGCAGGTGGGAGAGTGCAGTAATAAAGTCCTACATCTTAAATATCTGCACCATCTACCCGAGCCACGGAGGCAGAGCTCATAGAGTGGTGAGCCCCCTGCCCCTCTCATGCTAGGCAGCGGCCCTAGCCAGGGTTGTCAGGAAGGAAACAAGCTCACGCGGGTAGGCACCAAGTTCTTTCACTGCTACCTAGAGCCCTCTAGCCCCTTGCTATTCCAAGTGTGATCCCTGGACCTGCAGCATCAGCATCACCAGGGACCTTGTTAGAAATGCAGAATCCCAGGGGCGCCTGGGTGGCTCGGTCGTTGAGCGTCTGCCTTCGGCTCAGGTCATGATCCCGGGGTCCTGGGATCGAGCCCCGAATTGGGCTCCCTGCTCAGCGGGAAGCCAGCTTCTCCCTCTCCCACTCCCCCTGCTTGTGTTCCTTCTCTCGCTGTGTCTCTCTCTGTCAAATCAATCAATCAATCTTAAAAAAAAAAAAAAGAAATGCAGAATCCCAGACCTACTGAATCAGAATTTACATTTATTTAAGTAGATCCTGAGTTGATTTGCATGCACATTAAAGTTTGAGAAGCACTGGCCTATATCACCTAGTACAAGGATTCTCACCCTTGGATGCACATTAAAATCAGCTAGAAAGCTTAAAAAATACCAATTTCCTGGGGCCCCAGCCTCAGAGGCTGATTTAATTGGTCTGTGGTGAGGCTCTACAAATCAGCACTTTAAAAAAGCTACAGTATGGGGCATACTGAGGCCCAAGGGACTTTTCCAACTCCCACAGAGTTACGTGTCACGGCTGAGACTATGACCCTGATCTTTTATTTTTCTTTCAGTTTTTGTTTTAATTCCAGTTACTTAACATACAGTGTTATTTTAGTTTCAGGTATACAATATAGTGATTCAACACTTCCATGCATCACCCAGTGCTCATTACGACAGGTGCCCTCCTTAATCCCCATCACTAATTATACCCATCCCCCCCACCACCTCCCCTCTGGCAACCATCAGTGTGTTCTCTATGGTCGAGCGTCCGTTTCTTGCTCACTTGCTCTCTCTTTCCCCTTGCTCATTTGTTTTGTTTCCTAAATTGTCTTTCTCTGACATTTTGCTGAACATAAACTCTCTAGCTCCATCCACGTCGGTGCAAACAGCAAGATTTCATTCTTATTTATGGCTGAGTAATATTCCATATATATATAATCTCATATCTTCTTTATCCATTCATCAATTGATAGACACTTGGGCTGCTTCCATATCTTCCCTATTGTAAATAATGCTGCTAAAGACATAGGGGTGTATGTATCCCTTTGAAATTGCTGGGTCATAGGGTAGCTCTGTTTTTAACTTTTTGAGGAATCTCCATACTGTTTACCAGAGCGGCTGCACCAGCTTGCATTCCTACCAACAGTGCAAAAGGGTTCCCCTTTCTCCACGTCCTCGCCAACACCTGTTGTTTCTTGTGTTGTTGATTTTAGCCATCCTAACAGGTGTGAAGTGATATCGCACTGTAGTTTCAGTTCGCATTTCCCTGACGGTAAGTGATGCTGAGCATCTTTTCATGCAGCTGCTGGCCATCTGGATGTCTTCTTTGGAGAAATGTCTATTCATGTGTGACCCCGATCTTTTCATTTCCTGTCCAGCTCTCTCTTTTCCAGTAAGTTATGCCACTTGCCCTCAGATGCCAGGTAAACAAAGGGCTTAGACTCCAAGGAACCAACTCCAGGTCCCCCCAGTTTTTTCCGCCCTTCTGATATAGTAGAGTTACAAGCCTGAGTTGAAATCCTGGTGCTGCCAGTCAGGAGCTCTCTGACTTTGGGCAAGTTATTTAAACTCTGTAAGACTCAGTTTCCCCCTCTGTAAAATGGAGGTAATAAAGTCTACTTGGAATAACTCCTGAGAGCATTAAGTAAAATACTGGAGAGGGAAAAAAACAAACAAAACCCTGGCACATAGTACAAGCACTCCCCACTAACTGAAGGGTCCCAGGAAAAAAGAACAGAAGAAAGAGGCCCAGCTGGCGTTTCCTTTCGGGTCTGGAAAGTGGCTGCATCCACATTACTGTCAAAATTGCAGCCAAAAGGCTCTGGGAAGTGCGGTTAGTTAGGAGGCAGACGTTTCAAAGGGGCCACAACAGCTCCAAAAAACAAAGGAGCCAAGGAGTTTGAAGCAGGGCTACGGACTGAATCCCCAGCAAGTACTCCCTGGCAGGAATCTGGAGAATGTAATGGGCTATTACCCAACAGGATGTCGGGGACACTGGCTCCCAACAATACACCACCTCATGGAGGCCTGGGAGGCCCTGAGGCTCCCTCCCAGATGGAGCAGTCAGAGACATATGTCTTGGTGATTAAGGACTGAGCTAAAGTGCTTTGCGTTCATCCCTCTCACCCGTCCCAGCCTGCCCAGGCTGGGCCCAGAAATGACCAGTCACCCCCAGGAGAGTCCACTCACCTGAGGTTGGGGCCCCGGTATCCCAGACTAAGGATGGCCTTATGTGCCCGGCGGGGAGAGTGACACCGGGCAGGCTGAGGCGAGTGATGAAGGAATGTCTGTAAACCCTAGTCCTGCTTCTATGTCCAGATGTGCAGATTCCAGCAGTTTCAACCTCTATATTCTACAGGCCGTGCTCTGGCCAAGGCTAAGATGATATGCTGGGACAGGTCAGGAATGGCACTCAGCGGGCACAAGCTAGATTCCACAGAGATTTAAGCCCAGACTCTCTCCCTGGGGAGGGTCCCAGCTGATCTGAGCCATAAGAATTGGGGAAAAGCGCATACTCAAAAGCTCCAGG